CTATTCTATTCTATTCTATTCTATTCTATTCTATTCTATTCTATTCTATTCTATTCTATTCTATTCTATTCTATTCTATTCCATTCCATTCCACTCCACTCTACTCCACTCCACTCCACTCCACTGTACTCTATCCTATCCTATCCTATTCTGTTCTGTTCTATGAAATTACAGACTTAATGAAATTACTGACTTAATCTCAAAGGTCCAATAGCATTGAATGCTATTAAGTTATCAGAGGTCAGTATTTAAAATGAAATATATACATTCATCACTGTTTTAATACCTTCTATTTTTTCTGTGCAACTGAGGTTCTACCTGGGACTGGTAGAACCCATATCTTAGCAATCATTTAAAAAAAAAGAAATTAATTCAAATGTTGCTCATTTTGAACCAGACTGTCCTCACCATGGAGGAAAATAATAGCTATATTATGACAAGTAGAACAGCTAGAGGCAAGACTGAAGCATGCCAGGTACTAAATCTTTACTTCTTGCAGATCTACTAAATAATGCAATCTTCACTCCTCTCACTCAGAAAGAAAGAAATGGAAAGTGAGTGGAGACTAAATTAATATACTGAGCTAAACTTCAACTACCAACCACCAGACTCGAAATTCTAGACCTAGAAAACCTAGAACTATGCCGCCTTCGGTCCTATCTAAGTATAGTATATAAAATCGTACATTGCAATGTCCTACCTGTCATGAATACTTCAGCTTCAACCATAACAACACAAGAGCAAACAATAGATACAAACTCAAGGTTAATCGCACCAAACTTGTTTGCAGGAAATACGTCTTCAGCAACAGAGTGGTCAATGTCTGGAATATTCTACCTGACTCTCTGGTTTTTTTCCCCAAACCCCAAAAATGTTAACCTTAGACTGTCTACTGTTGACCTCACCCCTTTCCTAAGAGGGGGCGTGCATAAGTGCACCAACGTGCCTACCGTCCCTGTCCTATTGTTTCTTTTATATATATTTTTTTCTTATATGTATCCATGTATTCATAACTTTTTACTTATACCTATTATTTTGTAAGCAATTGACAAATAAAAATAAATAAAAATAAAATAAATAAATAAAACTATATTAATCATGGTTGGTTGAATTAGCCCCAACTAATCAGAATCATGTATCACATTAAGCCATAACCATGATTACAAACCATATACACTAAGCAAACAGGCCAACCCTATCCTGGCTTAGCACAATGCCAAAACCCAGTTAGAAGGAGAGGAAGGGAGAAAAGCAAGGAAAAGCCCAAACAAGAAATCTCAGACTCAAGCAGGTACATCTACCAGGGGTGAAATTTAACCGGTGTAACAATCGGTTCAGTTAGTGTGTGCTTCGCGCAAGCAGAGTGTTTGCAATTTCTGCTGCAATCCCTGTGTATAAAACAGCTGATGCACGGAAATCTGCTGTGCCGCGTGAAGCAGCTGAGCTGGAAAACCCAAAAATAAAGCACAGGCTAGACAGCTGATCTTCGGAGCTATCGGTTTGCCTGACCTGGGCCGAACTGGTAGAATCCCACCCTTGCATCTACCCCAGGAGGAGAGCAAGTGAAGTAAAACCCTTCCCCATAAGGACTCAGATCTGAGCAATCTTTTTTGTCTTCAGCCTGATTATTTTGCAGGTGGGAACGAAGTGGAGAAGAGTGAGAGAGAGGGAAAATCAGTTTGACAAGATCAGGCAAACAGGTTGCTAATGGCCATTTATAACTGGTTGACAATGAGCGGATGTTCTCCTTGCTTAAAGATTTGTGCTGCCTGGAGCCACCTAAGGACACTTCGCTCCTTCCTTTTGCCTTGTTAATCATGGAGCAATTGAGCACAGCCGTGGGTTTGATGGAAAGCATGTTCTACTTTTGTTAGAGCTGCTTAGCGTCTACCTAGTAGTAAAAATGACGCTTCCGGTCTTCCCCATATTCCTTTGCTGCCTCTACTGTTTCTGACTTAAATTCTTTCAAATATATGTCTCTATACAAGAATATCACTAGGGTGATGTCCTCCAGCTGGATGCAGATCAATATACAGACAAAAAGAAAACCTGGAAGCAGGAGGATAAAGATTCAGTTTACTATTATAAGGAGATAAGCTTGTAAACAGAACTACAACTACCCTGTATTTCAATTCTTCACAGGGTTTCCCTTCTCTGCAATGTCATCGTTGCTCTAAGTATGTGATTTACCAGCATTGAATCCTTATTTAACTTGCAGAGAAAGAGCTAAAATGCTCCGAACTCTATAATAAATTTTGGAGTAATTTTTGCAAGAGGACAACCGAGAAGCCAGCCTGTTCACTGTCCTGCGGCAAGCACACATCCTTTCCTCCACCCCCTCCCTTCATGTGCCTCCCTTAATTCATTTTTGTAAAACAAACTGTACAGCCAGCTTATTCCTCCTGTGATGAGCTTCTCTCATATTCTTTCTGCAGTGCTGATTCAGTTGGATTGTTCTCCACGTTCCCCAGATGAAAACGATCAGCAGATCTTACGAGGTTTCTGGAAAAACAGGAGCTAGTAGGGAAGCGGGTAGCAACTGAAGTATGTATCTATAGCAGGGGTGGGCAATTCATTTTTCAAAGGGGCCACACTGTTATGGAGGGCCGAACCAATAGGGCTGTGAAGGTGGATAGGGATGCATGCACACACGTATATAAATTGAAAAGAAAAAAAGCAGTCACCTTCAAAATAAAAGCAATGTATGTTGCGTGCATGGCACAAAGTTATTTACACTTGAGTTCTAATTTCCAATGAATTCATGCAGGCCAGACAGGGACAGCCAAAGAGCCAGATCTGCTCCAGGGGCCATAAAATACCCAGGTCTGATCTATAGGAACATTCTTAATCATGGTTAATTGCAGAAAGGGTGGCTGATGGGTAGAGGAAGCAGGTGATAGACACTTACTCCAGGATATCCCGGTTGAATTGTTTCTTGCTGTTTCCCAGAAACTCCCCGATCATTTGTCGGCTGAGACCTTTACGCTGCAACAGGAAATGGGCCACTCCAATCGGTGTGTCTGGTATGAAGCCCCGAGAGATCAGGAACTGGATCCCCTTGTCTGGATTTCTGCAGAGAGCAGGGAAATAAAGGTGAGACGGATCCTTCCCATTTTGCTCAGAACACAATTCTTGTCTGAGAAGAGGCTGTGAGAAGTTTGATATCCAAATATATTTTACTCTTTATACTGTTTCCATCTTTCCTTAAACATGACCAGAATCCACAATGGGCTGAGAATCAGAGTCTCCACTAGATAATTGACCATCAAGCTGAAAGTAAATTAATCAAGTAAAAATAGCTAAGGGGGGGGGGATCATTTACTTAAACTTCCTTAAACCCCATTATCCAGACCTAATCCACATATCAAAGAATAAGGTCTGTAGACACAAATACAGTTAATTAAATTAGGTCTCCCAGCAGAACTGCATGCTCACAAGAACACACAAACACACACACACACACACACACACACACACACACACACACATCAAGTGTCATCCTAGACCAGAGGTCTCCAAACTTGGCAACTTTTAAGACTTGTGGACTTCAACTCTATGCTATGCTGGCTGGAGAATTCTGGGAGTTGAAGTCCACAAGTCTTAACGTTGCCAAGTTTGGGGACCCCTGCCCTAGACATTTCCACACCCAGGACACATTCCCTTATATAACTGTGTCACTGTACCCCATTTTTCTACAGGTGCCCCTAAAGGCAAACTCTTTGCTTTTAGGAATAAGTATTTCTTTTTTTCTCACAGCTGTCTGGATCTCATTTTTATTTAGTCTTTTTAGTCTTCCACAGCTGCACAATAGATGACAGTACCACCCATGGATGCCAATCCACTCCATCTTCCTTTTGCTCCAGGAGGGCATTATCATCATCATCACCTCCTCCTCCTCCTCCTCCTCCTCCTCCTCCTCCTCCTCCTCCTTCTCTTCTTCTTCTTCTTCTTCTTCTTCTTCTTCTTCTTCTTCTTCTTCAAACAGGGAATTTTGGTGGCTAGCGAGGAACAGTGTGTGGACAATGCAACCATGGGAGCAGACAACTGTGATGCCCTGATTTTGGCTTCTTGACATAATGCCCAAAAGGGCAGGACTGAGAGCTAAAATACAGAATTGTCATGGCTGGAAGTATGCCATCTTGGTGAGCAGAGGAGATTCAGCTAACTAACTCTCTCTTACTTAGGAGATGAAAAGAAGCTCATGTTCATATGTATTTTTATTAGAGGGGTAGAGTGAGGCACTCAGTTAACTCCTAAATAGCCAGGCACTGATATCACTGCTCACAGGTTGAGCAGATGGGGCTTGTTCTAACTGCTGTTGGATTTCAACAAGCACTATAGACGTCCATGTACAATACTTGTAGTAGATGGAAAACTAAATGGTGAAAAAAAAGCCCACTGAAGCCTTGCTTCATTTCAGTTCTGAAATCAGAACATCTGGAAGTGTCATAAGGTTAGGGGGGAAAAAAGAGAGTAAATACTAGAAAATCCACTGAAGGGGGGAAAAAACCTTATACAGGCTCTTCTGCTTTAGGAAGTACTTATATACAGTTTTCTCAGGCTGAAATAATCAAACTAGCTATTTCTTATTGAAGAGGTACAATGATTTAATTCTTACAACTTTCTCTTCCCTTTTCTTCTCATGCTCAGGAGTCTGGCACTTAATATGCTTTATGAAAAGGCATAAACATTTGTGAGCTACAGTTGATCATGAGACGTTTTGGATGAATGAGCTACAGTTCACACACAAAAAGAAAAAGAAATATGCCTTTCGGTGAAATTTATTACTTGGAAAAGGTGCTAACAAGCTTCTGAGTTTTGGCTAACTATGGGTGACCAGCTGCATTTGAAAATCTATTTGTGATCCCCTTCCTAAACATTTTTGTGTGGCTCCTAGCATTCCCTTCTGCTGCCATCAATTTCTAACAGCTTTTAAAATGAAAACCAGTGATTTCAAGGCCAGATATGCTGTGAGAGATTACAACATTAAATGGCTGAACCATGTGACTTTGGCAGGACTATTGTCCTCCTTGATCATACTCTGTAGTATATCAGTGGTAGGATTCAATTTTTTTTACTACTGATTCTGTGGGCGTGGCTTGGTGGGCATGGAGTGGTTTGGTGGGCGTGGCTTGGTGGTCGTGACAGGGGAAGGATACTGTAAAATCTCCATTCCCTTCCCACTCCTGGGAGAAAGTTACTGCAAAATCCCATTCCTTCCCCACTCCACTAACCTACTTTCGAGCTCCGTTCTCCTGTGCAGGGCAACAAAAGAAGACCCAGCCAATCAGCTGGGACTTGGGTGGCAGAGAATAGATGGGAGCCAGTCAGAGGTGGTATTTGCCGGTTCTCTGAACTACTCAAAGTTTCCACTACCGGTTCTCCAGAAGTGGTCAGAACCTGCTGAATACCACCTTGGAATAGAATGGAATGGAATGGAATGGAATGGAATGGAATGGAATGGAATAGAATAGAATAGAATAGAATAGAATAGAATAGAATAGAATAGA